GAACTGATGAAATACACCAAGAAACATTGTCAACCACCTTCAAACAAACACTAAAATGATATACATGAATTATATACATACAGAATAATAATGATATGGAATAAAAATAAAAATGAATGTGTCTATATAAGACAATGGTTAAGAAATGTTAATAAAATAAGGTAGAATAGCAAAAAGCAGTAGGTGATCAAGAAATTCCTCAACACAAAAGAAGCAACCCTCCGATAGATATCTCTCTTTTTTTTGAATTTGTTACAGTCACTGATTTCTCTCAGAAAATTTAGTAGCTTGCTGTAGAAGGTTGTTTTCTCAAAATTTTTGTTTTATGCTTTGGTATTTGAAGTGTAATTGCTCTCAAAGGATTGTTATTATGAGGCAGTAGAAATTCACTATACACTTGAGTATATACAGGCTGTTCTACCGCCTCCATTTTGAATCATGAAAAAAAGCAGAGGAATTTTCAATACTGTTTTATATTTGTTATAATCTGATATAAACCAATTTGCACTGTGACGTTTTGTTCATTGGATCAGCAAATCAATTTTTTATATAAGGACCATTAGTTTTCTTCATCGACAAATTCAGCTATGAATTGCAATACATCTGTTTCTCGATGTTTTCCTCATCATCACTAAGGTCATACAATTCCTGGTAAGAACTACCTCAAAAAAGTAGGGACCAATATTTTTTGGGACTAGAACTCAAGTTATACATAAACTCCACATATCGGAAGAACATGTAGAATACCAAGTAACAAACAGAATTAATGTCAAAATACTCCCAACCATCTATTTTGAACACAATATCTCATTATCTCGGAAATGGCAAAGCCTGCCTAGGTTGGTTAAATTTGACAAAAGTTTTCTATTTTGGGGAACAACAATACTCTTTTTCCAGATTGAGAATAACAGTGATTGTTTTCCAAATATTCGCCAAAAACTAAAATCATCAAATTTCGTTTATTGGCTCTGCTGCTGTTTTCACTTAAAGATGAATTTGGTATTTCTACTGTTCGCACAAGAGTGCTGTGATCCAATGGGACTAAAATATATAGAATCTGTTTTAGATAGGTTCAATTTCAGGTCATCTGCAATGCACCCAAGTTTTCATTTGACTAATGAAATATTTGGAATTTTTTAAAAGCTGTTCATCACTCATCGTCTGTAGAATAGACATATTGTCAGTAAAAAGGATTAGAAAATAATTGTCAGCTCATATCTAAATCATTTATAAAAATGAGAAAAAGTGTTGGGCCAATAAGACTCCCTTGAGGTATGCCACATGTGATGTCAAGGTCACACCAAGATGTGCTTTTCAAAATAGCTTGGTTGATTCATTAAAAATTTTAATGACTCAAAAATGCATATCGCTGATGCTGTTAATAATCTGTTCATTTTAAAAATTCCCCTACATGAGTCCCTGGCCTTCATACCAAAGAGTATTCTGATTACACTTTTTTGGCAGATAAATACTCTGTTCAGCTCATGACTGAAGCCCAAAATGATAATACCAAACCTTATGGCAGAGTAAAAATTAGCGTAGTAGACAGTCATCAGAACATCAGTATCAATGTTTTCTTTGAGAATTCACTTAAAGTATCGAGATATATACCTAAAAACATCACGGAGGTGTTGCAGGTCACTCTAAAATCATTGAATATGATTCAAAAATATGATTATCACAAGAGACCAATAAGAAACATGCATCAAAAGTCGTCATTCATTGATACTCACCTCACACTTGGTTTTGGTGATGGTTGAGGACTGGCTGATGGTTTTGGCAAAATATTCAGATGTGACTTCAATTTAATGATATTTTGAGGTTGCGAGGTTTGGATGGGTCTCGCCAGTAAATTATTATGAATAATTTGCATTACTGGATAATTTGGTTGTGGTGTAGGAGGTTTCAGAGATGGAGATGGAGACTTCAAGCTCGCAGGTGATGAATATGGTGAGGGAGGATATCCAGGGCTTGGATTTGAGTATGCAGGAGACATACTACTAACGATTTGCGGTTTTTTCACAAGATTTAGGTTGTTAGATCCCACTACAGTACAGTTGGTGCTTAGATTTTCATAATCTATCTTCTCTTGTTTGATGGTTTGGTACGACGTATTCTTGGGCGATTTACACATTTTTTGAAGTGGCTTATGGGGCGTTTGAGACATTTTTCACAACACTAGAGTTCACAAGTTATAGCACAGTTTCGTTTAAGTACATCTTCTTACAATTTCTTTTCTTGGAATGTTAGGACCCAAGAATCCTACTGCTAGACCATATTTTGCTATTATCCAGCTTATTCACTAGGTCCTTTTTTTGGAAATTCACTTCATTTTCACTTATCCGAACTCAAATAGAGCCATTTTATCGTTGTACACATCGAAAAAATATAAAGTTGACAACAGCATTATTTCACAAAGGGGTTGAAAGACATTATATTAATTTTCCACAGGAAGTTAAGTTAAAAAACTGCCACCAAACCGAAAGTATATTCAGATACACTTATAAAATAGTAAACTATCACTTTTTCACCACATAGTCGGCTCTCTTGAAGGAAACCTGAAACAAATGAAAGAAAACTTAGACTCAAACATAACCTCCACAAAAAGACAAATTTCAGCCTTCTACTCTGGATATCAAAGCCCAAAACGCTCTAGGTAAACAAAAACAAAGGCACCTTGTCGAAATTCTGTAATCACGGCATAATTTCAAATTGTGTTTCATTTGTTTGTAAACAATTTTGCAAATTTGCAACCACAAATAAGATATCACTCTACCGCCATCTTTTACGATGCGCCTTTTTCTTCTGCTTCTTCTTCTACAACGTGACCTCCCCGTCCATTCAGAAGTGGACCAGTCCATCTCACAATTTGTTATTAAATATTTTAATTATGATATAATTAGTCATAATGTTATCTTCGTAATACTAGTATTAGGTATCAGTTAATATTGAAAATGATTTGGTGACACAAGGTGCCATAGTGTCTACCTACATTGAATTTTATTGAAGTCGATTATCATGGATATAGATAAATTGGGTGGGGAAAACGATAAATTTCAGATGGTGGGGGAAAGGGAAAAATATGAAAAGTAAGAGGATATCACTATCACTAATGAACACCAAATATGTCATGACTAAATTGGACAAATATAATGATACATATTTGATTCAGTGATTGACATCTGATAAATTATGCCATAAAAAATCAATACAAAAGTAAGGTTACAAATAAACTCAAGGTAAAAATTCGTGCAATTGATCATGTGAGTAGTACAATTGAAAAAAAGATTCTAATCATTGAAAAATATAAACTCTATAGATTTTTTTCTAGCGATAGTGGGTATGGAAGTCCAACCCACACCGTTTTCAACATAAAATGAATAAAATTCTACGTACCTTTTAACAATTTTCACTTGATGGGTAAAAACGGGGTTCACTCTAGTAGGAGCAGGGCAACCGGTGATCTGATTGGTCGCCTGAAAGCGTCATTTGATACACAAAAAAATAACATTTACTTTGAGGTTAGATTGACCTATTTGCGATTTTAGACCTTTTGCTATATTTTATTAAGAAAAAAGAGTGAATGTAATCAAATTTTTAGAAGACTGAGAAATGTGTAGGTTTAGTAGTCGAGAAAGAAGAAGATGGAATGAATGTATTCAGTAGGTAGAAATTAATCTAATTTCGATTGCTACATTAAAGCCCCCAAATACTCGTCTCTAACATAGGTAATATTGCTATTTCTATTAACTTGTCCTTAACTTGGTACCTATCATATATGCACGTGGATAGGTAATTAAACGTATCTAACTGGGTTTTCATATACACGTAATATGAACTTGAATCTGGTACCTAATCAGGAAAGTGTTTAACTTTGCAAATGAATCGTATTATGAAATTTTGAGAGTAATATAATTATAAAGAATCCATAACCTTAATCAAAGTGGGCGTTGTTAGGTAGGTATATATTTCTTCGACTCGAAAGATAACCGCACGAGCTGCAACTTCGATGGAGGGGGGAAATAGTAGGGGAAATTCGTAAAAATGACGAACTGATCCAGTTTATGTTACTGCGCAATAAAACAATGGCATAGGAGATCAATAAACAGGCACTCAATTTTGGCGGGGAAGTGATGGTGATAGTACAGTATAATGCATACTGTGGTGATAGTTATGACACAAATTGAAACCATCACAATAAAAGCGAGGTCGATAGCTATCAGTATGTAGTACATACCTACTTACTACTGCTAAATTTTGGGTATACAGTGCATTTCTTTAATGCCCCCCCCCCTTTTATTTTTTGAACGGGTCAACTCAAAAAATTGAAATTTGAGATAATGAAATTAATGCACGAATACTTTATTTTGAAGTGAAATTGACAGGTTCAGTGTCGTACACCTTTTGCTTCAAATATCCCCATAAAAAAGGTCCAAAGGTGTCAAATCTGGCGAGCGAGCTGGCCATTCTGTAGGACCTCGACTGCCAATCCAACGACCGGGAAAAGTAGTATCCAAATAGTTTATTTGTCTGGAGTAATGTGGTGGTGCTCCATCTTGTTGGAATACAATATCCATATCGAATTCATTAGGATTCGCTTCGACGATTTCAGTGATGAGAGGGTCAACAGTAGTTTCCAGCATATTGAAATACAGTTCCTCTGTTAAATTTTGATCAATAAATAGAGGTCTTACAATATGGTTTCCTAATATTCCTGCCCAAACGTTACCTTTTTTGGGTATTGGGTATGTGTTTCCCGGAAAACGTGAGGGTTGGTGTCACTCCAATATAACGGCAATTTTGTCTGTGAATATTGCCGTTTGAAAAAATGTACATTCGTCACTAAAACAAATATTGTGGAGATAGGTGGATTCCTTGCAATGGTTTCCGTCATGATTTCGCAGAATTCTGTTCTTCGATCAGGGTCATCTTCAGTTAATTGGTGTACCATTTTAATTTTGTATGGATGATACTTATTCCTCTTCAAAAGTCTCCACACAGTAGAAGTAGACATCTTACACACATTCGCGACGGAGTAAGTAGACTGTTCAGGATTTACTACCATCTCACCAATTATTTGCACTCGCTGTTCTTCCGGAATGGACGGATGACCTGGGGGCTTTTTGTTATGTACACTACCGGTAGTTGTGAATTTGGATACAAGTTCCCTCAAACATTTTCTACAGATAGGACGATTCGGGAAACGTTCATTGAAAATCCTTTCTGTCTCGCACCGTATATAAAAATCTTTTCAATTTTTCCTACCGTTAGACGAGAATTGACTATTTTAGAGATTGTTGACGTGGTACCTTTCTACTAGTAAAACCAAAAACTAAATGAGAATAATCTAACTGAACAATGATGTTCATTGTCGTATTGACATTTTTTGTCGATTTTATAAACAAAAAATAACATAACAAATCTTTCATCATCCCAAATTTCAATTTTTTGAATTCACCCGTTCAAAAAATAAAAGGGGGCGGACATTAAAGAAATGCACTTACGACTTTAAACTCCCCTTAAGAAGAATGGGATCAACAGAGAAATCAATCGTCGAATATCAAAAATAAACGAGGCTCCCCAAGGTGGCCAATCTCAAAGCCAAGCTTTGACATTGAACGCCAACGAGACTCGTCCTCTGTCTTTCACTGCAAGGCAACTAGTTGTTATAATAACTAGGGCCCAAACCAAGGCCGTGTCCAGATTTTTGTTCCGGGGGGGTCTCAATAAAAAAGACCTGCTATATAATTAAAATGTAATTAATTACCATTAGATTGGCACGGAAAAAGCCCTCAACTGTACTAACATATTCGTTTCTAAAAATAAAAACCTCAAATTTTCAGTTCAGTAAATTTACAATAAAAAATCAAGCCTTCTAGACTTTTTATTGACAAATTCTGTTATAACATCATTAGTTGGGATGATGACATCTCTGTGAATTGCCATTAGGGCTAACCCGGTTAGCCTCTCTTGCCCACAATAATTCCGTAGATAGGTTTTTAGGCGCCTAAGTATGGAAAATGACCTTTCCGGGATGCACGTGTTTACTGGTAGAGTCGACAAGATGTTCAACAACATATAAATGTTGGAATACAATTGCCTGTTGCACTCTCCGACAGCCTCAATGGCACAAGAAGGCCGGTCCAAAGGGCTTTTGCTCTGTCACAACAATTTCCATAGTTGAAATTCGTCTAGTCTAGTTCCACTAGGTCCCCTCTTGGGAATGGCGTTTCCTTCTCGGAAGAGACTGTTGGTATAAGAGTGCACATATCAGCAATCACTTTCTTGTGGTCAGTAAATTTATTTTGAGCTGGAAAGTATTGTACTGATGTCAACCGTGGAAGCTTGATCTTTTCATTGACATCGGCCAGTAAATCCTTTGCTTCTGTAAATTAATTTGAAATTTTGTTTTCAATATTGGATCGAATATCTTCAAAGTCTGATATTACCTTCTCAATATGGTCGACAGCTGTTTTTAAGTCACAAAGAGGTGACTGCAGGACTTTGTATATGTTGCTGCAAATACATTCGCCAACAAACAGAGTGATACCACAAATTCGCTGGCAATAGCAGATCTCAGAAAAGAAGAAGCTTTGGTTGAGGTCTCCATATCCGGGTCTGTGCTGAATTGTTCTAAAGTCTCAAATTTAAAAATTTGTTTGAATTTTAACAAGCCGTTGTGAATTTCCATCCCACCGCGTTTCACACATTGGTGTTAATTTCTGTCGTGTTGCATTAGAAAAGTTGGTCCTAATGCGTGCCTGAAGCAAGTTTGTTCGCTTTGGAGATGCTCTCAAAAAATTTCCGATTGCTTTAACAGTTTCTATACAATTTCTTATAGGAGGTAGACCACATGAATGACAAAGGGCCAAGTTTAAAGAAAGAGAACTGCAATGAACAAACATAGCTAGGGGATATGATTTCCGTATAATTGCTTGAACGCCATCACAGCTGCACCATCGTACCCATGTCCCACCATATTGTTGCAGCCAATGTCAAGGTTTTTCAGGGACGCTATGATCGTGTAAATGGTTATGCAGTTGTATTATCCTGAGGGGTCCGGACCCCCACCCTGGACACGGCCTTGGCCCAAAGACAACGCATTTATGATTCAACACCAGACACAGCTGGTCCGACCCGTCATCGGTCCCATCAGTGGTGCTAGAGGCTGAACCTACCACAAATGAATTGCTGGATTCAACTGTACTTAAAGGACAAGCCTTAGTAAGTAAGGGCGATGACACCTCCCCTTATGAAAATGGCATCTTTATGATCGGATCCCATAGATAGCGTCTGGTGCAGTCGGCTGTTGAATCATAAATTAGTTGTTTGGGCACAACTTGTGCCTATGGCAGGTCAAAACAGCGCTGTGTGGTGTTGATTTATAAATGCATTGTGTTTGAACTCTAGTTTACAACTTAGTTACCTTCCAGTGAAAGACAGAGGACGTATCATCGGTCGATGTCATATCTTGACTTTGCAACTGACCTGGGGGGCTTCGTTTATCTTTGATATTCGAGAATTGAGTTCGTATTCGCTTTAACTCGAAATTATCACTTCAAATTCGAAATTACGACTTGAATCTCAAATTTGAATTTCATCAGAATCAAACTTAAAACTCTGAATTTAGTGAATTTTATCTTTAAGAAAATGTGTGACTCTTCTACCCCTTCGTCGTATCTGGATCTGGGCTTTGTGCTCGCTAATCTCAAAAACGGATCAACCGATAATTTTTTCCTCTATTCATAATTCAATAAAAAAAAAACTATGCCAATCTAAAGAATCAAAATAAAAATGTTTGTAAAAAAATACTACAAAAATATAGGTACTATTCATTCAGTTAATTTGGTCGAAACTTTCGTTGATGGTTTGCATTCTCATAAATCAAAGATAGGCAAATGCAAATACATACATAATGACAAATTTTTGCTGTTAGAATGGAAAATTACGCAAATGCAGGCACGAGGAACAAAAAGCTAGTATAAAATATTTAATGTTTGTTTGAAGGTGATTGACAATGTTTCGTGATGAATTTCACTAGTTCGGACTTCCATTTTCCGCTTCACTGATTTGGCGGGAGTTGGTCATTTTATGATCGACTACGTTCTCTTCAGATGCAACTTTCTGAATACCTACATCGGATATTATATTAATTGATGATGTATTATTTATTATTCTCTTGCATTAATTCGTCATTGATAATTGTACACGAGTGGTTTATTTTCAAAAATGTATTTTCTATTTTGTCATTCTGATGGCATTCTGCTTCATTGAATATCACATTTGACAAATCTGTGAATACACGCACAT